TACTGCTAATTTAAACTGGTAAACACTGAGAGCATGATTTTTTCCCTGGTCAATTCGAGGCATTCACACTGCAGCCATAATGCAGCTTAAATATGGTTGATCACGTATAAATATGAATATAACGTACATCAGTAGGTATAATATGAAAAACGTTAGTCGTTTTTTTTTAACTTTTAAATAGGTTTTTATGTGTTTTATTGGAATATTTTTTTAACTTAACTGCTTTATATTTTGTTGTTAAATTTGATATTGACTGATGATTACTTAATTGCTTTATATTTTGTTGTTAAATTTGAAATTAATATATGTTGTTAAATTTGATAAGTATTGTTGTTTAGGTTACTTGACCATTAATATTTGCACACCACTAAGGTAGAATATGTAAAACGAATAATACTCAAACACCATTGTACAACCATATTCTTGCAAATAAAGATTATTATTATTATTATTATTAAGGCCAAGTGAAATAATTAGATTATAAAAAAATACTGTAAAACTGTGTGCCAAATCTCGAAGATCCGCCATCCTCCCAGTTTTAAAATTGGTTTCAAAGAGTATAACTCAGTTTTCACCCACTTCCGGACGTCTGAATAATCTGAAATTTTGCAGACGAATTAAAAACCGACACTAATTTTATTATTATCATCTAGTATTCTAACCCGCAACACATTAATACATAGGCTGCACTAAAAGTATCGGGAATGGAATATTTCCACTGTTCCTGTCATATTAAAATATTTTTAATTGAAAAGTCCTTGCTTTTAAAAATCGAATTCCATTTATTTATTTAAAAAAAGATTCTCGGTCTTGTCACAAGGTCTTTTTAAACTTGTTTAGTCGTTGAGAAAATGGAATTGACTCGAGAAAATTCAAGAGCGATGACTTATTATGACTTTGGAAGTGGTTTAACACAAAAACAGTGTGTTGACCGGATGATTTCTGCATTTGGTGATAAAGCCCCATCCAAAACCACAATTTATCGCTGGTTTGCTGAATTTCAACGTGGACGTGTCAACCTCAGTGATGATCCCCGTCAAGGTCGTCCAAAAACTACAGTCACCCAAGAAAACGTTGATGTTGTGCGTAAGCTGATTGAGGAAGATCGACATGTGACATACCGCGAAAGTCAGGCAACTTTAGACATTGGCATGAGTCAAATACAAATAATCTTGCATGAACAATTAGGTGTAAAAAAGTTGTTTTCCCGATGGATACCGCATTCGCTCTGTGGAGAGCAAAAAGCGGCTCGCGTTACTTGGTGCGTCAGAACTCTCGAAAGATTCCACGCAGGATCCTCAAATGCTGTATACAACATCGTATCAGGTGACGAATCCTGGATATACGCGTACGAACCCGAAACAAAAACTAGTCACGAGTTTGGGTGTTCGAAAATGAGTTAAAGCCAACTAAAATTGTTCGTTCACGGAGTGTTGCAAAAAATATGGTGGCCACGTTTGTCTCCAAAACCGGCCATGTTACGACTATTCTTCTTGAGCGACAAAGAACGGTTAATGCAGAATGGTATGCTAGCATTTGTTTGCCACAGGTCGTTTCTGAACTCCGTAAAGAGAACTGCAACCGCCGCATCATCCTCCATCACGACAATGCGAGTTCTCACACCGCACACAGAACAAGAGAGTTTTTAGAGCAAGAAAACATAGAATTATTAGACCATCCGCCGTACAGCCCCGACCTAAGCCCTAATGATTTCTATACTTTCCCTAAAATAAAGAATAATTTGCGTGTACAGAGATTTTCATCACCTGAAGAAGCTGTGGACGCCTACAAAACGGCCAATTTGGAGACCCCAACTTCCGAATGGAATGGTTGCTTCAATTATTGGTTCCATCGTATGGAAAAATGTGTCAAATTTTAGCGGAGAATACTTCGAAAAGCAATAAATACATTTTTACATAGTAATGTTGTGTCACTTCCTTGATTCCCGAAATTTTCAGTATGTATCGTTTTTTAAAACTCTAACTTTATTTTTACATGGTAGAGCCACGCTGCAGCTATATTATGGTTTTAATACAAATAGGTCGGCTCGACCGGGACAGGACCACGCTCTTACAGAATACCAGCGTAAGAGAGCAGCATAATGCTGCTCTGTTTCAAATGATGAGTGTAGAGAACCGGAGACCATTTTTACTGGATAGGAAGCATTCCATCTCAGCCCTCGGGGGTGACATCGCAAATGCATTTGGATTCTTAAACGAGGATAGATGTAAATGACTATGAGCCTCGGTACCCACTTACCATCAGGTAGACTGTGTGCTTGTTTGTCAGCTTTATTCTATAAAAAAATTGTTGGTTTTCTCGTAGCCAATTTTAACTAGGGTGCCAACTTTTAAGACCCTTGGCGACGAATAAATATTTTCAATTAATTTTATTTGGATTTCCATTTGTAACCCGTCACAAGTCCACTACTGAATAAATAAATAAAACATTGGCCTCCACTAACTGTCACGGTTTCTTGTGCCTGTTTTACCGGGTCGTGCGACCTCCATTTAGTGGGGGTCACCTTCCTCTGTTTAGGTACTAAGCGGCTGCCACTTGGGACCTTTCTTCTTCATACGTTGTTGGAGAAGAAAGGTCCCAAGTGGCAGCTATTGCCGACCCATTGCGCATTTTTTACTGATACATTGAGCAATGTCGGGAACTCTAGTTCTGCTGCGGTTATCTTTTACACAAAGTGACTCCGAGTGCAGCCCTCTACATAGCTTGCAGAACGCCTTTAAGCATTCTGATGCGCCCAAAATTAAAGGACCATGTGTTAGTTCCACAGGTAGCATCGCTGGTAATACACGCTGGTTGTACACTTGTTTTGAGATTTTGAGGTTTATTGGACTAACCAGTCAAATTTGATTCGGCGGTTGACCATTTAGTCGAAGTTACTATGGATAATTTTTGTGTCCCTTGTGAAAAAGACACCGAAAACTTTGTGCGATCTAAATTGTTTACGTGATAACGCTCATATTAAAATAATTAAAAAATTATAGACAAAGTGAATAACTTACAATGTTTTCCGCGAATGAAGATTTCAACGATATTTGTTATTTTCAATCTACAAACACCATATTTTCTTTCAATATTGTGAGCGCAGTTTCCCAACAATCTCCAGATGTGTCATGAACACATCTTTTTCTAACATAACCGTTGGCAACGTAACCGTTGGCAGACACTATGTAGCAGAAACTGAGCATAAAATTAGTTTATTCCGGAGACTAGAAGTCATGAAGTCTGCATGAAACGGTTCGTAATAATTCTCTAAAACAATATGTCGATGCAGGTTAGAATGGAAATCAGGTTCATAAGCTCGTTATTGTGTTTCTTCTACGATTATTGCGTAGTGCAAAGTGGAAGAGCAAAATGAAATAGGCCCTGAATGGCATTAAGTACTGATTCTTATTTCACTTGCAATAGCTCTGTTGTAATTGTATACTCACCAGATACCTTGCTGTTTTTAAGATGCTGGGGAGCAATTATAATCACATTAAATTTGACGTCCGTGACTTCATCAGGATAATGTCGAGATTTGCATTTAATCTCACTCAAAGTATCTTTTCGCCAGATATGTCTGTTGGTCTTCAACAGAGACAGTCCATCAACCACTTCTTATGCATTTATAGTTTTTAAACAACTAATGGATTGCTCGCACCTTGTTTTAAGCAGAGAAATTTAATTATAACAGATTTTTGTCTGTCACGGCATGCTATTCTACTTCGTCAAGCACCCGAACTTTTTAAACTAATTGTAGTATAGGAGCAGAAATTTTTTAACGAATTATTAATTGGGATAAAGATGATCACTACAAAGTACCCGCGGCAAACCGTTGAGATTTGAGGCACGTGAACTTAGCGTGAAGCAAATGGAATGGGTCACGCTAGATAATAGAAACTTCATTGCCGGCAATATGTTACTACACCGACAAATTTTAAAGTAAACTACAATTTTGGGGCGAATTGCTGGATACAAGTTATTTGCAGAGAACAAAGAGAACAGAGTGTATATTATAGATGTCTTGACTTTTATCGTTCTAACTTGTATTTTTCTGAAATAAAAATTCTTTGAACTTTGAGGTCGTAGGCGGTCGTCCACATCGCCCACGCCGTGCCGCCTCTAAATACCACAAATATGTGCACTTTAATAAAAAAAATATACTCGCTCTAATTTACCTGCACGATTTTACGTACATGTGATAAAAAACTGGCAAACGAGAACTAAATTGTGAACTGTGTAGTAGCGGTGTAAGAATATCCACTACGCCATATTGTTCCGAGGTTGTAGTAAGAGGCAACAGAGGGAAACAAACCAGGGGATGGGCAGTCTTTCTAATAACAACTAGAAAATAAAAGAAACTGCGGTTGCCAACCCGCCTGCCAAACGTGACAACTATGGAAATTATCTTACTTATGAAGCTCCCCTATGAGGCAATCTTTGAGCCCTTTGTCCAGCAATGGTCTTAGGCTGTAATTATGACGATGAATTATGATAATACTGGAGGAGGAGGATTATTGCTACGGCGATGCAAAGGAATCCATGTCTTTATTTTGTCCACTAAGGCGATTGTGGTAAAAAGCGGGAAGATCTCATAGCCTCCGATGAGGGGGTGCAAAACTATCTCGTAAAAAAAAGTAAATACTCAGAATAATGACTAAATGAGCAAATCAGTGGCAAAGGTGCGATACTGTGATCACAAATCTGCCCCCAATTATAATTCCGCCCCAAATATCCGGCTTTCAATAGGAGGGTTCTTGTCCAGCTTTTATGGGTGTTACGGGCATACGAAGTAGAGAAAGAAGAAGAACCTACATCTTGATGACTGGGTGATATCACTACTATTCGTACACTGTAGCCTGTGTTCTGCATATCGTTCTTCATTAGTAAGATTAATTCAAAATTACTTAGCACATAAGTCTACTATTACAGTTTTAATCCATGCTATACTGACTCAAATATAAACATTAACATTTTTAAGTTTTGCGTTTGGTTTTTAGATTAGAAGAGTTGCAAATCAGCGACAACGAACTACGATCGTTGGACTGCGTGTTACAACTACCGCGGTTAAGAACGTTGGTCGCTGTTCGAAACATGATTACAAGTTTTGAGGTGAGTCTTACATTACACATTATTATATCCATGCACGCTAACGTTCGGATACCTACTGTCTTAATTCATCATCATCATCATTACAGCCCTTCACAAGTCCACTGCTGAACATAGGCCTCCCCCAAAGAATGCCACAAAGCACGGTCCTGAGCCACCTGCATCCATCGACTTCCTGCATGTCTTACCAGGTCGTCACTCCATCTCGTGGGGGGACGCCCTACACTTCGCCTACCGGTACGAGGTTGCCACTCGAGTACCTTTCTTCCCCATCGGTTGTCTTAATTAAATTTATGAAATCATACAACCTTGCATCTATTTCATTGTTTATTGCGCCTGCTAGCTATGAGAATTGTTATTCCCTCCTCACTGGGCAGAGCTAATATTTTCGAACTTTCAGAGCCCATTACTAGTCTGTGCTTTACAAATTAGAAAAATTATTATGTTAATAATTAAAAATTAAAAATTTTGTACAGCCGCATTCAATATAAGTTATTAAGAATAACTCAAAAACTATTGATCTGACCTTGATCAAATTCATATGGGACACGAGAAGTATCAGCTTTCAAATAAGAAAAGGATCATCGAAATCGGTTCACCCAGTAAAAAGTAAAAAAAACATACAGTCGAATTGAGTACCGTCTCCTTTTTGGAAGTCGGCAGAAAAACTACTGTGACTACAGAGCTAATATTTTCGAACTTTCAGAGCCCATTACTAGTCTGTGCTTTACAAATTAGAAAAATTATTATGTTAATAATTTAAAATTAAAAATTTTGTACAGCCGAATTCAATATAAGTTACTAAGAATAACTCAAAAACTATTGATCTGACCTTGATCAAATTCATATGGGAGACGAGAAATATCAGCTTTCAAATAAAAAAAGATACATCGAAATCGGTTCACCCAGTAAAAAGTTAAAGTCTCCTTTTTGGAAGTCGGCAGAAAAACTACAGTGTTATATAATTTAGCCCTGTGTATGTATTTTCCGTTATCAGCCGTTTCCAGAGTCTCATCCATCAGTAATAAATATCATGAAGGGAAGGCAGGCAGGCATTCGAAGAAAAATTAGGCAAGTTACAAGCTATACAACTGTACGCTGTAACAGCCTCTCAAAAGTCCACTGCTGAACATAAGCCTCCCCCATAGTTTGCTTTATATATGCCATAGTTGCCAAGCTTAACAGGCGTGTTGTCGCGCATTATTTAATTTTTAGTAGGAGGACGCTGCTGCTCATCCCCTGACTTTTTCCTGTTTGTCGCCTCTTATACCGCCTTTATACCGCCACTACATGATAGATACAATATATATCTAACATAATATTTAAAATATTTCAGAAAAATAATTCAAGGTCAATGTGCCTCGATGATGAGAACAGACCGCAACAACAAGCACCATTGACTAGCATCGATCTCCGCCATAATAGATTAAAAGGAAGCATTGTTCTTGGTAATTATGAAGTAAGTTTTAGAATTATGTAGGTTTTATTCATGTAAAATTGGAATTTATGCAATATCGTTAACAGTTATTTTTGATTTTTCTGATACTTTTGTTTATAACGTCATTATCACGAAAAAATCGTATTTTCATAATCGTGACAAAATTTTAACATGCAATTATCGTGTACTTATTTCTTTATATTGTAGCGTCAATTGTGCGATACCCTGACATTATTATTGCTTTTTAAATTTACATACCTACAAACTTTTACCGCGAAAAACAATCCTATTTAATCGATAAAAGTATTAACATATGCTCGAATAATTTCGTTTATTGAAATAATAAATATTAATTATTCTAGCAAAAGTCTCGATTACTTTATTTTTGTAATAAGGTATTTCAATTTCATTCATTCGTTTTTCCTTATATTTTAAATTAAAAATAATAAGACAATCATTAATTATTTAGTACTTTATGCTAGCAAAGTAAAAGAAAACATCTATTAACTCTAATTAAATATGTTATATGATGGTGACTGTGGAAGATTTCTGAATATTTTGCTCAGTACTTTCACCACTAATTATAATTTTATAATTTGTGCTTTTATAACGTTATAATATCATGTATACCACATTATAATGAAGTTCGTTAATCACTTACAAGAAGTGATTACACATTATTTCAAACAATATTAATAAGAAGTTGTATAATGTAATATTTAAGATAACTCATAAGAACATCACTTGCTCTTCTACAGAGATACTATAACAAAATAAAGAATGAGCCTTTATATATTTGTGTTTTGTATTAGATTTATTCCTATTGTTTTTTAAATCTCCAAAAAATGCAATTAGTTTGAATATAAACACATCAACACTAACAAAAAAAAGTACTGACCACTCGAAAATTTTTTTAATATCAAATTGTTCGTTATTTATTCCAGATTGATTCCAAAGTTATTGTAAAGGTATTGGGTCGTTGGTGCTTTTCCATGTGGTCGTTGGTACTTTTCTATGTGGTCATTGGTGCTTTTATTTGTGGTCATTGGTGCTTTTACATGTGGTCATTGGTGCTTTTATTTGTGGTCATTGGAAATTTTACATATGGTTGTTGATGCTTTTATGTGTGGTCATTGGTGCTTTTACATGTGGTAGTTGGTGCTTTTCACCGATGAATCCCGATTTGGTTTTTATCCTGATTCGAGGAAAGTACGTGGTTGAAGCACACAAGTCCTTGTCGTACAAGCCAGCTTCAAGACCCTCAAGAAGTTCATCCATACCAAGGCTACAATTATGACGTCGGCAGGAATTCGTTTTGGTGGGAGAACGGATCTCGTTTGAATACAGGGCACTATGACGGCCGAAAAATAACGTAATGAGGTATTAGAACCAATAGTCTCGCCACATCAAACACAAATAATTCAAAATTTTCTGCTTGTGCACGACAATGCCCGTTCACATACGGTCAGGCTGTTAACAGCCTGGTTGCAAGAACATAATGTTACGGTCCTAGAATTGCCAGCGCAATCCTCAGATTTAAATGTTATTGAAAATGCTTGGGATATGCTCCAAAAAAGAACTCTGAGGGATTTTCCTGAAAATCTGGTTACACAAGAACAACTTTTTATGCATCTCAGTAGGACCTTGGACAATATTGCTCAACTGGATATTAACAACCTCATTCTGAGTATGCGCAACCGATGGAGATGCGTCATGAATGTCATAAGTGCTTTTAGTGGTTATTAACTTAAAAGGTTTTACTTTACTTTATTTTTAATTTAAAAATTAAAATTTAATTATGTACAATTTTATTTTCTCTGTAATCTGAAACTCAATTAAAGTCAACGTTTATTTAAAAAAGTTAGATTATTAAATAAAGTTTTCTTGGATACATATTATCTTAAAGAATATTGACATACTCTTTGGAATTAATGTGTCGTTAAAATATTATACCGTGTTGATGTGTTTATATTAAAACAGCAAATATAATGAGTATCTTGTGTAGTTTTGTATTGCGTAACTATCGCAACCTACTCTTTTTGATGTTTTTATGTTTATTGTATTTTCAGCATTTGGTAACGTTAGATATATCGCATAATGCAGTGGAAGTTCTAGTATTATCAGCTCTACAAGGTCTAAGAGAACTCTTTGCATCACACAATGCTCTCCAGCATCTTGCATTGCACGGCGCTTCGTTGAGAATATTGAGTGCTCCTTATAACCGTAAGTTAATGCTTTATATCTGTATATAATTATCGTATGTTTGTCACTGATCTCTTTCTTAATGGTTAGACCAATTTTAATGAATTTTGGTGTGTTTGAGTGGGTCCCTAGATAGTAGGGGGTAGATGGTAGGGGCCGCTTTTGTCGAGATCTAGAAATCACCCGTACGAAGCCGGATAGCTAGTTTGATATAAAATATAAACATCACCATTAATTTAATAAATTTTGTTGCAGAAATGGAAACCTTAACTACAACTGTGCCGCCTATCAACTTAGTAGAACTAAACGTATCACATAACAGACTGACTTCACTACCGCAATGGCTCAGTGGTTGCTCGGACCTTACGACACTTCACGCGAGTAATAATTATCTCACATCACTTCCGGAGCATTTATTCTGCAGTGAACTTTCAAGTCTTAGTAATTTACATCTTGCACATAACAAAATTTCAAATATTCCGTCGATGCCTCGGTTAAGGTCACCGCTGAAAAAACTTCTATTACACGATAATTGTATACAAATGTTGCCTGAAAATTTCTTTTCTGTATGTGACAGATTGTGTATATTAAATTTATCCAATAACAGACTAAGTAGATTACCGCGTGTAAGGGGACCACCTTCACAAAATCTAGAGAGGCTGTATTTAACAGCGAATTGTTTAACAGACGATGTTGTCGATGTAATCATTGCTTTCCGAAAATTAAAAATACTACATTTGGCTTACAACTGTTTGACAAGTTTGCCTGAAAATGCATTTAATTTTTGGCCCGAAATAGAAGAACTCGTGGTCTCTGGCAACTCTATCACGAAACTTCCCGATAATTTACCTCAATTAAATAATATCCGCATCGTGCGCGCTCATTCAAATAGATTGCGATCGGTTCCTATGTTTGCATGCAGTGCTTCCGTTAAAATATTAGATTTTGCTCATAATGAACTTGACACTGTAGATATAAGGCTCTTGGCTCCAAAACAATTGAAATTTCTTGATATTTCATGTAATAAGAAATTACAAGTAGATCCTTCGCAGTTTAATTCATATAGATGTCAACGACCTTTAAGCTTAGTAGACGTAACTGGAAGAAATTCTGTACCTTTGTCCCATAAAAGTGGTTATCACGAAGAATTAATTGGAGTTACTCCATGGACCACCGGATTTTCTGAATGCCCCAATAAATCGTTACAGTTATGTTGTGCTCAAATACGTCTTCCATCATTTTGTAACAAAGAAGGCCTCTTTGCAATTATCGATGGAGAAACAGACACAGAAGTTCCAAGAATATTACAAACATGTTTACCTGGCCTTTTGCTTGAGGAAAAATCTATAAAAGAAACAGTAAATGAGTATATGAAATATGTTGTTTTATCAGCGCATAGAGAGTTAAAGGAAAAGGGACAACAAAAAGGTGCTTGCTTAATTATGTGTCATTTATCACCAATTAATTCTCCTGAAAATGGATTTGGACACACGCCTAAAAGATACAATATGAGATTAGCTAATGTTGGGGATACACGGGCTGTTTTGAGTAGGCGTAACGGACCATTAAGTCTAGGAATTGAAAACAATAAGCGCTTAGGCCACTCTTCACGGTATCCAAATACAGTACCCGACCCCGATGTTATTCAGACTATTATCAAAGACGACGATGAATTTTTGATTTTAGGAAATGGGATATTCTGGAACGCAGTCAGTGTGGACGCAGCGGTGTCAGAAGTACGAGCTGAAAGGAACCCCGTTCTTGCAGCAAAGCGCTTACAAGACTTGGCTCAAAGTTATGGAGTGGAAGACTGTATGTCAGTTTTAATAGTACGATTTGATACAGGTGGACAAGCTGATGTAGATTTGTTAATGAGAGAACTGAGACAAACAATTGGCAGTACTAAGTCAGTTTGCAGGCCAGACTGTTGTTGTTCAAGACTTGAGCCTTGTTGTCATTCCATCACACCACCAAAAACATGTAGTGATCGATCATCGCCCAGTGGTCAAAGCGATCTTCCACCCATAGAAGTCGTAAGTCCGCAACATTATGCAAGTGTGCGATCACAAAATAGAGCGTCTGATCGAAAAAGCCGAGGTGGCGTTGCTCGCGCTATACGAGTTCGAGTAGAAGAAGAAAAAGAGGATGAACAAAGGAAAGAAGAACTCCCTTCATCTGAAGAACAGTTTAAATGTTGGGAATATATGTTAGAACAAAATACTCAGATGTTGTTTAATAAGGAATTGGATAATCTATCAAAAGGAATAAAATCAAATGTAAGTACACTTAAATCTTTGAAAGGTTTATCAGGAAGTAGTCCTCAGCTACATTTAACAGAAAAACAATCTAAAAGTGTTCCTTTTTTATCAAAGCATTTTGGAAGCGCTCGCTCATTTGGCAATGCATTGAAACCAGAATTTCGTTTCGGTTCTGGTAGATTAGCAAATGGTGGACCAAATGCTGCATATTTTGGTTCACTTCAAAGATTGATGCCATATCACTTAGAATACGACTTCGCTGTGATACAAGAGAAAGGGGGACAATCACAAGAATCACTAGACCTCGAAGGACGTATGCAACAATATTGGGGAGTTGCAACAACAGAGTTGTAAATATCGAAGAAAATGTAGCAAAGTTTAAGAAAGGTTGTAAATAAAATTTTAAACATTAGCATATTAATATTTATCTCTCGACTAGATTTTTTGCACAAAGTTTAATATTCTTGTGTACTTACGAAATAAACTTAATCTATTATATTTTAAAACATACATTATATGTACAATGTTGTGATAGTATTTATTATTAAATATTATCTTTTACTTAACTAATAATATAAATAAAATGCTGTATTAAGTAAATAATGCCTTAATTATATTTTAACATCAATTAATTTTAATTAATACACAGATGTTTACCAAAAAGATCTCTACTTATTTAATATTCTTTTTATGAATCTTCGTGATAAGTCTGAGCCCAACAGTTAGTGAATATCTACAGCGTAACATTCACAATACAAATAACCTTAAATTATTTACATCAAGCCTTACTATTTAAGGCATTTAACACTGCTTACATTTGTGCTTCAATAAAAATATTATACAATTTACTATTTACAATTTTCTTTAAATGGATTATTAGATGCCTCTATAGGAATAAATATGTATGTTAAATTATATCCGATTTATCACTCAATTGTATTGACTTCATTGCACAAGTTCTAGATTATCAACCCTCAATATTTTTAATAATGGAGATGATCATGGAAATATTTCGTATATACCTACATATTTGGTGTCAAAAGAGGTTGTAGTTCATGGAAACATGTATAGAATGCCTTGTTAAAAAAAAGATACATCATAGCTACAGATGGATTTGAAATAGTCTGTAGGCACATTTAGTAGGTACCTCAAACTTCCAACTCGATTGACGAGTTAGATTAAGAATAACATTGAGTACCAGTCATGGTACCAGTCAAGTAAGTACTTCGTTATCAGAAATCTTTCTTCGTACGAAATTAACTGTATATATATACATAATGAAAAATAATATTCATTTAATTATTTTGGCTCACATTTTGTAAATAAATATGGAAGTATTGTATTTACATTTTAAATAAATTTAATACAAAAACAATTGTCCAAATGAATCACTAGAAGTTTAAATGGTCACCCAGAGTATATAACCACGGTCATCTTGCTATTTTTAAAAGTCTATTGACAATTGGTTGAGTATTGACAATTGGTTTATACGAAAATGCATTTTGTTAAAAAATATAACACATTTTAAAGTAGTGACCTACTTCTTACCTTACTTCAATAATAACGTAGTGAGTTAAGGAAAATTAGTGTGGATTCACATATCGATCAATCACGAGTTCAACATTTACAAAGATCGTTATGATAGTTTTATTATAAACATCTTTGTAAATTTACAAACTAGATAAATATTAACTTCTATAAACAAAATCGAGCTGTAATTGAAATATATAAACAATGTTGATGTGTACAAGTGCTCGAAGGATGTTGTTGTCATGGCTAAGTCATGTATCACATTATGACAGAACATTTAGCAGCAATTTTGATATTTACCAGAGTAGTTGATGCAGTAAAACCACATTAGTAAATATTCAGCGGCAAACCTGCAGTTACATTTCGATCAACAACAGAGGACACTGCGATAAAGTCATCTAGTAACTGGGATAGAAAGATAACTATTGTCAAATTAAGTATTCAATGTACCCGAGGGATCACAGTTCACGTTTGACGACGAGCTCGAGAGGCTGCACGGGTAGAGAGGGGTGCGCGGGGAGCGGCGGGTGCGCGGGCAGCGCGTGCGCCGGCGGCGGCCGCCGCTAGGGGAAGCCCCGCGGAGAGTAGTGGTGTGCTTCACCCAACCACGAGTCCGGTGAAGGCGGGAAGTCCGGGTAGCCGCCTGCTGCCGGCGATGATGAACTGCTCATGTCTGACGCGCCGCCTGCACCACCGCCGATGCCAGTGCCGCCCATCGCTTGTCCTATTATAAGTACACGTATTTTACTTTATACCTTATTTGAGTAACAGCGTTCAAGTATTTCCTTTCAGCTTGTTAAATAACTTCCCTGTGTTATTAAAAATTGATTAACGTTATAATTGGCGTGTATGTGCAGAAAGTACTACCTATGTAATAGTATACCCTGTGTAATTTATTCCTTTTGTCAACTTTACAGTTTCGACTGACTTGAAGGATACTCTTACATTGTATATGACTTTTGTCTTTGATATTAGTAAATTTAAAGTAATAAATGATGTTTGTTATTATAGTCTGAGAGCTGGCGACGAATTTTGGGAAGGTGATTTTGGCAAGTGGAAATTGTGAAAAAATATAATTTCGTCAATCGGCGAATCAAGTGCCGCGAGTCTGGCAGAGCGTTTGTGTTTATTCGTTACTGCGCAGCATATGACATTTGCAAAAATATATCCAAAAAAATGTTTTTTGGCAACTTTAGTTCTTTTTTATCTTATAATTTAGTTTTTATATAATTCAAAAAATAATCCCAGACGTTTATGTCGGTTATAAAGTATTACCAGACCTCACAAAAATATTTTATTAAAATTCCCAATAAATATACTTTTGGCAATCTCAAACTTTAATCACGTATTTATTGAGTAATTTTTATAATACTTGCAAATCGCCAGCCAAATTTAACGGTTTTAAACAATTCCCAGACGTGAATAAAGTTTAGAAATTGAGAACATACGACTAAGGGGTTCTTTTTAGCGGTGACCGCGCAAACCTGTCTTTTGAAGTATAAGTTGAACTAGAGTCGTCCCCAATCCGAGATATTGTTTATTAAAGACTCGACTTCAGATACAAGTTTGTTCCAATACACGATGACGTGTTCCCGAGAAGTATTAGCACGGCCGGTGTAAAAAGCATCACTAGTGTTACAACCAATAACAGCAACATATAATTGATATACATAAGAAACATCGTAGGTTATAGCAGGCAACCTTGCGGAACACTAGCATTAATAGGCTTGTAGTCAGTGTGTGCACCGTCTACAACGACTTTGATGCTCCGATCTGTATGAAAGCTGATGATCTAATTGTACAATTTCTCGGAAAGTCCATAGGAAGGAAGCTTCTAAATTAGTGATTTGTTCCAAAGCCCATCGATGGCCTGTGCTATGTCCAAAGTAAAGACCAAGGCCTTTTGGACTCTACTGCATCCGCTCATCTATGAGTCAGGTAAATTAGAAGATTAGAACTAGAACCAGCTGACTGAGCTTATTGACCGCACTGGTGGCCTTATTAATTAGCCGATGGTCCTCAAGGTACCTTACGAGCTGGCATTTTATAATGAATTCAATTATTTCGGGGATCAAATATTTTGGGGATTATTATTTCAAGGAGGTGATAATGATAAATTTGTGGTAGGACAGTCGACGCTCGGTCTATTTTTTAGGGATTGGGTGCTCTAAAGCTGTCTTCCATTCGTTCAGAATTACGCCTAGGGAGTAGGAGTATAGAAAAAGACGCGTTAGAACCGGTGCTTACTCCAGAGCAATCGTCTTCAGCACAATAGGACTGTATCAAGCCCACTCGAATTTTGACGTCCATGATGAGCGCTGTGTAAGCTGCATATCCAGCTTGAAACAATCACGCCGCGGGATGGTCGGCGGTGTATATCCCCAGTCATCGACAGTTGAGTTAGACTCATAAAGAGAACTTAAAAGATCGACTTTCTCCTTAGCGGTATGGGCCAGTGAGTCATTCTACCTGTGCAGAGATGGAACAGATGGCTGACAGAAATTATCTCGCACAGCCTTGGCAAAACACGTTAATAAAATTAGAGGTAGAGAAGAGAGCTTGAGCAGTTTAAATCTTTGAATCACGTGAACGTGAAATCAGTCAACGAAAGAAGGGTAAACAAAGTACCGAGTAACCGAAAGGTACCAAAAATTCAAATTTTTATTTTTACAATCTTCTTATTCGTTTTGCACCATAAATAAAGAAAGAGCAAAAACTAAAATACTTGAGACAATTACTCTATCATATTCTGAACATAAGAGTACTTGCAAAGGCAAGCTCAGCGCTCCGCCAAACCTTGCGCTCTAGGCTCCAGCCTGGTTAGCCTGTGGGTAAATCAGTTCCTGATGATAAGTGTAGAAAACGGGAAACCCTTTTTATTGGTAACGACCTTAGCCCTCACGTGTGATAACGCATCTACATTTTGATCCTCAAGTGAAGATAGAATGTAGGTGTCTATGGACCACAGCATAAACTGATCATCAGGTGGACTATGTGCTCGTTCGTAACCTTATTCCATTAAAAAAATGTTAAGTGTGAACATAAAGAAGATGAGCCGTTTTTTTTGTTTTTTATCCATGTTCTTTTTTATTTATTTAAATTGTATAATAATTATTGACTATAATGATTGGCCGTAAGTTAGTGACATTATTTATTCTGAACCCGAAGTGACTATAAATCAACATCGAGACACTATTACCTCTCTCTAATTCAGTTACTTCACAGAGAAAACTTATAGCAAACTAGAGCTTCGTCAATAGTTATGTTATTTGCTCGAATTTAAGATTCCTTATGGGATATATATGTGATTGATATTCTGCTTATCGCTTACAGCTTGAATCATGATTTTATTGAGCTATAGCCATTGACTTATATTATTAGCGTGGCTTTAAGACATAATTTTTTCATACCTTTGCCCTTTGAATATGTCTATTCATTTGTATTTAACTAATTTTCAATATTGCGTTAATATGAGTGATAATTATTATTCACCTATGTTGGTATAGACAAGATGGTCGGGTGGATAATGGTAGTGCGCATGCGGAGGTGAGTGCGCGCGCAAATATGGCGGAGTGGCGCCAAAACGCGCGCCAGTTGACGCAGCGCCACCACCCGCAGGCGATCCTTCTTCTCCACCCAGCGCCACTGTACTGTAGCTATCGTTGCTTAGTTCTAAAATTAGTTATACAAAGAACATTAAAATTGTTGTAATTTTAAATTAATTTGTCAACAATATTTCAGGAGTGGTTCGCATGCTTGGAACTATTTACTGAAAAATTACGTGACTAATAAGATGGTCATAAGTCATACATTTAATATCATATGTGTCATTTAATAATGTAACAAAAGATAATTACTTGTAAAGAAGATATTGTTACTTAAATACATGTATGAAACAATATTTACGAAATATAAATCACTACTTCTTACCATGATGGCTAAACGAATCCAAATCTATTTTTAGCTCATCTTTGTCAAGCAGTCGATCGTGTCTCGGAGAACCGCCACCCGAACTCTTCATGGATCTGAAGTATTGAGACCATCGAGTACGACCAGCATCCTTTTTTAACCGTTTTTCTTTTGCTCGTCTGTGAAGGATATAACATAAATAATTTTACATTGTTAAATGTAAAATTATACTTTGTTTTTTGTTTATTATATATTATTATATATTTTTTGGTTATTTATTAAGACGCGGTCCTCTTCCCATGCAGGGAGGATCAGCACGTTTGGCACCTGTCTAATTGTCTGTCTAATTGCCAGATATCTTGCACCTTTGACGCTGCTCGCGACGACAGTCTGGGTAATTTATGTCTGACGTAAACGAGATTATTATACCACCATATATCTGAAGCTATAAATAAGATCTTTCTGAAAATACCATAGTCACCTACACCCATGGGGAAAATGGGTCGATAGATTGCCTTCTGCCGGCACCACATGGCCACAATATAGTTATGTTTCACAATTATACCTAAAATAAAATATAGTTTGTATATGACTAAATTTTTCTACGTAGTACAGTCATACTGAAATATAAGGATTATATTTGGCTTGGCTCCGCTGAAAAATTACGGCCTAACTGATGTAGTATCAGCGTAAAATACTTTGTTCTGCGCTGCCTCACACGAATAATGACAACAGTCATTCCAAAAACTGTTTACTATACTGATAACGAAGCATTTAACTTTAGTTCACATTGCAAGGCGAAGCATAATTGAGCATATTACGTACTTATAACATTAATGCGGTTTTGCTTATTGGCGTTGGAATAATAACGGCAAATATATATATAATAAGTCACTTTTTTGTAGCTAGATAGTGTAAGTTTGCACCCGTTAACATTGTGAAGGCTAAATTCGGCCCTCGTTTGTTATTGCAAACTCGAAAAAAGATTCCTTAGATTCTTTAGTTTCCTAAAAAAATCGGGATTTACAAATTTCTAGAAGGAAATTCAAGCGTGTAGGCAATTATTATTACACGTAAATTCGCACATTTGGAGGTGCCTGCCATGTACCATTAATTTAGTGGGTAATAGATTTATAGAACATTATTCTTAGCAGATTTTTTTTTAAATCCGTCTCGAAGGACCACATAATGTTTATAAGGGTGATTTGTCAAAACGCTAATATTGAACAGAACTACTTCAAGCTTACAGATACTAGATCAAAAAAATTTCTTAACTAAGAACGCAAATTATTATGTTGAAGTACACAAATTTTTACAAATGACTGTTTAAAATAATACAAATCTATACATATAAATAAAATTTAAGTGTCTATCTGTAATATTCAAATAACTGGGTTCAATTTAGTTCAGGGGCTTATTTGCATGCTATTACAACATAAATAACCATTTTTCTGTCTGTCCGGGCTAATCTTCAGGACGGCTGAACTGATTGTGATGAAATGGATAGAGAGCAATGTCTTAAAGATATAAAAAAATTGATAAAATAAACGGCCTTTGACTATCTTAATTTTAATTAACACCACATTAATTGAGCCTATCCAGGCGAAGCCGGTGCGGTTCGCTAGTTATAAATAAAACTGTTTAAAACATCTGTTGTAATATGATAAAGAAAAAAATGAAAAATGAAAATTAATAAATAATAATTGCATCGATAACTTCTACACTTGTATGTTTAGAAAGTACTTTGTGCTCTCACATTGTTGCTTTAAATCTAAGTCAGATGTTAAAAGTGTTCATGAAACTCAGTTGAAATTTATACTAGGATTCCCAAAATTTAACCATAATTTCTGAAAAGAGTGTATAGTCACACTCCATGATTAATACATAGACTTAGGATATCCAGTATATCCTAAGTCTATAGATTAATATTTTAAATGTAGAATCTGTTCATTACCTCTTCAAGATCAGCATAACGTGCGGTAAAATTTATCTCACGATATAATAGAAAGCCAATCACTAAGCTATTAAATGATTTTGTTTTTGCTATTTTTCGAACAAATCTTGTTGTTGTTTTGACCTTACGAATATATACATAATAATGAAAAATTATGTGTTTGTTCATTTTATTTTATTGTATGTCTTGTGTACATCGATACCGGAAATTTCATCTGTCGTAAAGGACAAAACACGAGTTTTCAGTAGAGCCAAAAAACAATTTGTTTTTGTCTAATATCTTTTTCAAACAAAGTACTATATTCATGATGTCCAAAGAAACCTCAACTATTTTTTTATGTTCTATCCTTATAAATTAACAAAATAAACCAAACATAATCATTGAGTTTTGTTTTTGTGTTTTTTTCCTTTGCCTTTTCCTTTTGATCCTCTTCCTTTATATTCATCATATAATGTTACTATTTGAGCGTCTTTGTTTTCGTTAATTGACTATTTTACTTCCATACTTTTAGCGTTTTTTTTTTCTTGAACGTGATAATGCGCATTGCTTTTAGCTGTATTTGCCTACTTTAGGAGTATTTGAAAATTTTTCAGACACCAAGCTGTCCTAGTTGATAAAATATTGTAATCATCATGAAATATTTTTATAAATACTTTTTCACTAAGGTATAAATTAGAATTATTTTGGCAGTGTTTGACAAAAATTCTAAATAATTTTGTAGCTTTTTTAAATGCATGAGGTAAATAAAGAAATGAACGCTTTTTACGACAATAATGCAAAGGAACGGCTGGAAGGCTTTAGATAAGCTTTACGTATACTTTATCTTCATGAGTATACTTCTCTTAAAATTAGGACTAGAATTAGGATTGAATAGAAATAGGAATAGAATTAGAATTTTTCTTAACATTAGGGTCGTAAATGACAATGAGAAACAAACAACCTTTACACTATAAATACGTAAGATAAAGCAAAGCATAGATTAGGTCGTAAGGATTTCGATTATCAAATAACATGTTTACGAGCTCATAAATAATTAAAACATGACTTTACGCTCCCTATTGAAAATTATTATTACGAAACATCTCAAATAGTAAATAAAAATGAGCTAGCGCTGTTGAAAATGCAGGTCGTAAGGGGCTTTTATTTTTAAAGATAGGATTATTTTAAAAATACCAATCGATAGAGCTCGCGACGCTGATTCCAAATGTATATATAACTCATTATCGGCAAAATGTGCTTTACGACAATTGAAATTTCCGGTATCGACATATTTTCTGCACATCTATAAGTAGTAGTACAGTATCTTTAGAATGATAATCTTAGTTTCATACGCCTCCTTTCATAAATTACATTCTTAATAAATACCTACTAAAATCAATTTTCGATGTACAGGTACCTACTATTATTGTAATTTATTATCTTTACTGTAATGCTAGATATAAAATACTAATTAGCAATGGGAAGACAGCAACAGCAGAGGCCCTTGTCAGCAGTGGAAAGTAATCATCATGATCATCACCTTCATTACAGCCTATCAAAATCCAGTTCTGAACTTGGAGGCCTATCCTCCCCATACATTGCCGCTGCTGCTCTGGTCATGTCTTATTTCAATATCCCTCTGTCGCCACTCACAACACCCTGGATGTCTTAATTAATTAAGACATGGCTAGTTTAAGATAGGCGTCTTTGTCACTACCCCAGAGTATCATCTTTTGTGAAAGTACGAGGAATTCTTTATGCTATGTTCTCGATGTGATCGTCATCATCATAGTTTATGTTTTTAAGATATTATATTTTTGGTTTTATTAAAGTGAAACAGTAAAAGCGTGCTCGTCGCGACCCCTGTCAGCCCTATTCAGGGCTGCAATTCTACTCAGCTGCGCACCCATGCCAACGAGGGTTAGGGCGTCCCCCCAAGGCGACGCACACCAGCTCGTCCCCGTTGGTGTGGAATGCAGCGCGCAAAGCGGCGATAGGGACCGCCACCCGTCACGCACAGCCTGACACGGCGGAAGAGTGCAGAGTTGGCACGTGGAATGTTACAGGAGGCATGAGAGATAAGATGAATGAGTTGATCGAAATAATGAAAGAAAGAGAATTAGATGTCGTGTGTATGTCGGAGACCAAGCGGAAAGGCAGTGGTACTGAAGAGCTCCCTGGCGGGGCGCTAGCTCTATGGTCCGGAGTCCCGGAGAGCAAGAACGCCTGCCAGGGAGTGGGGGTACTGCTGTCTTCTCGGTTGGTCGATGTTATGACTGAATATAAGGTTGTGAACTCAAGACTTCTCTGGGTTCGCTTTAGATTGGGACTGACGAAGTTATTCCTTTTGGCTGTTTATGCGCCGGTAGCTTCGTCGTCCAGGGCTGAGCTGGAGGAGTTTTGGGAGAATGTAAGAGAAGTTCTAGATTTGGCTAGGGGAAACGAAAGAATTGTTGTATGTGGTGATTTGAATGGATGGGTTGGTACCGCTCGACCAGGGTACGAGTCGGTACTTGGAAAGTTTGGCGATAAAAGGGTTAATGATGCTGGCAAGCTTATACTGGCGGTGTGCAAGGAAAAGGGTCTTCTTGTGACAAACACTATGTTTAATCACAAGAAAATTCATATGTATACTAGAGAACGAAAGAATGAGAGAAGTATGATAGATTTGTTCCTGGTGGATGACCGACTGCGAAAACAGGTGATGGATACGCGAGTGTTCAGGGGTGCTGACCTGGGAACGGATCACTATCTAGTGATTACTAGATTTAGGGGTCTGTTCGCGGGTTGGCGCTACCGGACGGCAGTAACAGAACCACAGTCGGTCTGTCGCATCCGAAGCTGGAAGCTTCAGGAAGCGGATACTAGGGACAAATATCATGCGAGGGTAGCCGAAAAGCTTGACACCATCGATGGCAGAAAAGAATGTGTAGAAAGAACTTGGCAGAACCTTAGGGATGGAATGGTAAGTGCAGCGGAAGAAGTGTGTGGAACAATAAAAAGAGGCAGTAGTAAAAGAAGAGATGCATGGTGGAATGATGAAGTGAAAGAAGCTGTAAAGAAGAAGAAGAAAACATGCTTAGACTACTTGGCCTCTAGTAATGATAAGGATATGAGAGAGAAGATGAAAGAAAGATATAGGCTGCAGAAAGTTCACACGAAAGCACTGATTGAGGAAGTGCGTGAAAGGTGTAGAATGGAAGCGGACGAAAGGTTGTCGCACAACTTTAAGGAGAACTCCAAACT